TAAGCAAGAACAAGTAACAACTTATATGAAATCATTGCAAGTCCCAACACTATGAAATAGCTGCAATAATATGGGATTTATTATTTAATTGAAGATTCACTGATTTATTTGATGGTCTGGTGTGACACATATATACTGAAATTCCTACCACTGTGAAAGACAAACCATTTAGGCAGATGATATACTTAACGGATGAATATGTATATGTATTCCGACTATAAAAGAGGGTAAGCAGAAAATCAGAAGCTTTTCTCAATGATGTTGCTGTTATTGGCATTATATAGCTGTCAACTTCAACAGATAGTCCTGGCTGGTCACCCATATCTGCACTTTGAGATGACAATGTTTTAACTCTTTCACACTAGGTGACAGCTAAATTAGTTATAAAATAACATATGATGCATTCATTGGTACTGAAAGTGTTAACTGCTTGTACAAGTTATAAAGTTGTTCTGCTTTCTAAAGTTGATGGCGTGTTGTGTTGGTAATCATGTTTATCCACGACCTTCTGGGTACTTTCAATTTATTCTGAAACAGATTATCTTCCATACCTTGTGGCACTGGACTCATGTTTAATCCACAACCTTATGTCCTTTCAATCTGTTCTGACACAGATGATCTTCTATGCCATGACAAAAAAGTGTTGAGCATCCTCCCCAGATTCTTTCACTGTAATGTAACAGTCACTACAAATGTAAGCAGCTAGATAACACAAGAGTATTTTGTAGCTAGTGCATGTGTACTGTATTGCTTTTACAAGAAAAAACACATCTAGAACAAGTTTCAACTTTATACAGCCATTGTTAAACCTAACATGTCCTTCGAGGTCGGAGTGCATCTGCCTCACAAGCAAGGAACCAACAGTCTGTAAACAATAAGCCAGATCTGGGAAACTGATGTGCATGCAAAAATTAAATTCTGGAATAATAATAAAGTCCAGAAGTAAACAAACAACCAGAACTTTCTGCCAGAGCTTACAGCAGTGAACACGAAGAAGAAGAAGAAATCCTAACGTTGTAGCAACAATGTTTTAACTGCTTTTACAAGTAATAATTGTAAACATCATCATCATGTAGCAGGTCCTTTGCAGAACATTGCTTTAATCACAGTCTGCCTGAAAGAAACTTGGTCTCATGCCAGCTCTCCCGCCTCGTGTACTTTCATACTCAAGGAGTCACTTACATCCTGTGCCCATCTTTGTGTTGGTCGGCCCAATGCCCCTCCTTCCTGGTACCATGCCTTCTGCTATAATTTTCTCTAATCTGTTGTGGCACTTCCAAAATATTTCAGCTAATCCCTGTAAACAGTCACTATAAATGTTAACAGCTAGATAACATTACAGCATTACGTAGCCAGATTATTGTATAAAGTAACTACAAATGTTAGCATCTTGATAACATTACAGCATTATGTAGCCAGATTATTGTATAAAGTAACTACAAATATTAGCATCTTGATAACATTACAGCATTATGTAGCCAGATTATTGTATAAAGTAACTACAAATGTTAGCATCTTGATAACATTACAGCATTACGTAGCCAGATAATCTACAATGTACTGCCTGCAGAAGAGAAAACAAACATGCAGAACAAGTTACAACTTTATAAGCCATTACTAGTCGTAACATTACAGGGCCAGTTTTAATTGCTTCTGTAATTACAAATATAAGCAACAAGATCACGTCACATGAAGCTGGTTCATGCATTTTTTCATTGAAATAACACAGCACAACCTTCAAACAAAATTTTTTGACATTAATTGTATTAAACTAACCACTTGTGAAATGAGATGCTTGAGAAAAGCTGCAAAAAAAAAAAAAAAAAAAAACAACGAACAGATTGTGTGACAAATAAAAAAAGAGATTAGAAGAACTGTTGGAAAAAGTGAAATTATTTGAAAAACAAAGATTCAAATGGTTCAGCCAGCTAATTCATAGTTGCCAGCAGCGAGAGTGTATAAAATCAAATAGACACACAAAGACACAGAGGGAGACCTAGAAAATAATGTAGTTGGTAACAACCACAGCCAGCTCCGGATATAAGGCCATACAGCTCAAACAGAATTCCTGTTTTTGTGAGGCTGGCGTGGCCGGTCGATGGTGACAATTATCGAGTAGATTTTATACACAGAATTGAACAGTTTAATTAATTTAGAACATGCGTTATTAAATGAATTATTATTTTGAAGATAAAAATTTTTAATAGCCCATTTATATCTGGAGCTGGCCGTGGTGACAACATAAGACATCATAACATTACAACATACTAGATAAATGAGCGCACCCTGGCTTTACTACCCATCATCCTGCAATACCTCACAGCACAATACAGATAAGGTCAAAAGACAAGCGTAAATACATCCTTTATTACAAATTTATGTAGCTACAGACATCTTAATTTGTTTGCGTATTCCCGAAACAAATTTATACATCAAACAAATGAATAATGAAGAACATTTAACACACATAGCTAGTGCAAACTATGTTTCATTGTTTGCTCCCAAAAAAAAAATATATATATATACAGCCAGTGCTTGTTTAAACTTTATGCAGCTACAGACTGAATGAATGAATGCTGAATTAACAATCAACATCTCAGTACTTGGGGCATTCTGATTAGTGCTCTGTCCTCATCTTCAGCAGCAAGCGCAGACTTCCAATTCGGATGGCAGTTTGATTGTACCTTCATATTGTCTCTCTACGCTCGCCGCGGAATCAGAAGGTCATGGGTTCGCTCCCTGGCGGAGCCGGACTGTTTTCAATAATGGCCTTGGCTCCCAGGTTGACCCAGCCTTGAGTGGGTACTGAGTGCAGTTCCGGGAAAGTAAAGGTGGCCGGCGTGATGCTGACCACATCACCCATTTTGTGCTGATTGGTCTTTAAAAATATAGGTCTAGCCCTATATGCCCTATACACCTAAAGGCGTGGAAAAGGGTCCTTTACTTTTTTTTATTGCCTCTCTCCTGAATATTGGCATCGACTAGATCCCTTGCCGTACCACTTCTCCCTTCTCACCTAAGTGGAGAGGAACTAGCAGTCTTCGTATAATTCAGATCTGTAAAAGGGATGTGCATATAAATCTCAAGTTTGGGACAAGACCACCAAAGTCCAGATGTGGACAAACAAACAGGACTTTTCACACAAGTTTACAGCTAAGAAGAAGAAGAAGAAATTCATGTACATTAAACATTTCAGCCTCATATCATATTACATCGAAAATCAATTATTTTACATTCATAACAATCTAAATTTCTTCATCTTACTGCAAACATGGGCAATCTATGTAGAATTACAAACTAGCTAGTTGCATACCCTTTACAAGATGTCTAATCCAACCCCAGAATCAGCCTGCTGGCTGGACGCTGAATAGCTCAGCTCTACATCATAGAGGAAAATGGTGGGCAGGACATAAAATATGGTACTTTTATTTGTTCCTGGTATGGTTGCATATTGTTAGTTGAAGAATTTGCCTTTTTTTAATGGTCTCATTACTGTACTCACAATACCATCATGCAATTAAATCTTTTGAAGACATATCACCACTTTAGTGGCTTCTGAATCCATCTTTGGTTGAACAGATCACAATTTAAGTAGCCCTGCACAGAGAGCCCTGCACATAGAGCCCTGCACAGAGAGCCCTGCACATAGAGCCCTGCACAGAGAGCCCTGCACATAGAGCCCTGCACAGAGAGCCCTGCACATAGAGCCCTGCACAGAGAGCCCTGCACAGAGAGCCCTGCACAGAGAGCCCTGCACATAGAGCCCTGCACAGAGAGCCCTGCACAGAGAGCCCTGCACAGAGAGCCCTGCACATAGAGCCCTGCACAGAGAGCCCTGCACAGAGAGCCCTGCACAGAGAGCCCTGCACAGAGAGCCCTGCACAGAGAGCCCTGCACATAGAGCCCTGCACAGAGAGCCCTGCACATAGAGCCCTGCACAGAGACACTCTAATATTGTCTCATTTGCCATGAAAATAAATTTGTGCAAATATGTTTTGAAAAACTAGAATTAGAGAAAGGAAGTATTATAGTTCATCAAGCATGGGAGGCGATAGGTTTAATTTTTCTATTTGTTTTAAATTAATTCAGTGTGATACAATTTTAATGCCAGACCAAATGATTAGGGGGAAAAGTCTAGAACCTTCCAATTTGTTGCTGACATTGATGAATCTGAGCCAGATAGTGACTACAGTCTTGATATTATGATTAATAAAGCAAGTGCCAAACCTACTGTTAATAATTTAGGTTAGGATGAAGTTGAACAAAATATTTCTGAAGTTGAACAAAATATTTCAATCAGATCGTCCCTGTTTCGATCAGCTGTTTCTAGAATTCGGTTTTGGTGAAATATGACATGTCATACAAAAGTGGTCATAAAATTCAAAGTATTTAGATTGTTTCAAAATAAAGACTAGCTGATGAATAACTAAACATAGAAGGCATTTGAATTCTTATAAATGGATAGCAGTGTTGTTGAACAAGTAAAAAGTAAGGTAAGCACAATATTTTATGTATACAAAATGTTGCACGTGTGTCTAACAACCATGAATGTTATGACTCATTAACATTTTGTTGTTGTAAAGCTGATACTTAACTAGTCTAGATGTATTCTGTATTTATTGTTCTTTAATATGATATATTCAATGTCACTGTACAGCCAATATTTTTTTCTTCAGAAAGTTTTAACTTTGTCATGCTGTTGTAACAAAATTCAGCTGAAAACTAATGCAGTCCAAACCACCGTCCTGAAAGAGTTAACATGTAGTCATATGTCTGCCTTAGCTTGTACATCAGATGCATGGTTCCGCTTCAAAAGTGGCAGGGAGCAAGAAAAACATTTCAGTTTTTCTTAGTCACAGTTATACAAATCTGATTTGTAATTGAACTTATACACTATAGATGTGCACGTTTCTCGTCTGATTGTAATTCTTCTTGTGAAAATCATAGTTCTTCTTGTATAATCTGACCAACTTATATCCCAGCTGGTGTATCTCTTCCTGCTATGAAAGTAAATCAATAATTTTCCGAGCTTCTCTCACACCACTCAAGTAAGCTCCTGTAATGGTTTGTGGAAACTGACGATTTGTTGCCTGCAAAGAAAAAAAAGGAACAACCATACAATAATATGAATCTGATTTTTTATATAATCTTCCACATTCCTCTTTCTCCTCAAAGAAAAGCTGCTACCAGAGATTAATATTTAAATGATTTTTATTTATCTTTCTTATTCTTCTTTCCCTCCAGAACCTTTCTGCTTTCTCTTTTGATTCTTATTAGGTTTTGTTCTATTAATGGTGCTCTGAAACCAGCACTGTTGCACTTCAATTCCCAGGATCACCAATGTGTCCTCGACATTGGAGGTCACAGCCATTAAATCTAGCCACTCCAGCGACAGAGTCCGCAAGTCTCTTGAGAATCGCTTTATTTACACTTTAACACCCTCCGGACTGAACTGCTAACACAGTTTCATTTAAACTCCAAGGGGATTGAACTGCTCTCACTGTTTTATCTCTAACCTCCACAGAGGGTATTTATTCCCCCAGCCGACAGGTGTAGGCATTCTGCTGAGAAAGCATCAACCCGGCTGCTTCAAGATTCAAGCTAAGTGATTTTGTGTATTTGTATAGTACTGTTTGATTTGTATGTGCTGATGAAGGCTCCATAGAGGTAACGTTCACGTTTTATTTGTACTTATATTGTGAAGCTTGCTAACATAATTTTCGTTCAGTTTTATATCTTTTCTTGTTCTATGTTCTATTAATGTCTAAACATGAAGTACAGTTATGAGTGTGTTTTGTTTTTCTTCCCAGTATTTTGCTAAAATTAATTCTTATTAAGAAATTAAAAAAGCACTGTATGGATGTTTGTGTTCCAATATTCAATCCTTGGCCGATAAAGAAAAAAAAACTTGAAAATATATGTTATTAAAAGATGGAAGTTGACACATAACAGGCTAACTAGTTTATTTAATTTTAACAGACTGCAAATTAGAAAAACTAAAAGCCTGAAATAATATACACAAAATAATATTAATACACTTTGACAATTTCTAAAAAATTTTGTTTTTAAATTTATGAAAATTGTACTTGTTGGGGGGAAAAAAAGAATTAATTGAGGCCCCTGCAGATTCTGATGCCTAAATGTAACACTGTGCGAGTGATTGTTCAATCTAAGCAATGTTTCCTCGTTATAAATTTGAACAAAGAAGACACAAACAATTGATTGCACAATTTACTGCCTGGCATTTTTAGCTGTATCCCGTCAGGTGCATACTACAGTAACCGTTAAACAAATGAAGCAAATGGATTGAGTTGAGTTGAATTAACATCACAGCACTCAGGGCACTCTAGATGAGTTGGTAAAGTGACATTTATGGGACATTGGGGCACTTCTTGGACCCATTGGAGGTGTCAGTTATGCGGTGCCTTGAGGTGACAGGGTTAATTATACCCCCACCTTTAACTATGGAATTGATGCAGGGTGATAAGACTGACATATATCATCAGTCAATCAGGTGTCGACTCCACAATGAAGGTTGGACACTGTAGATCGCCAAGAGGTCCTGTATTCTGACTGTACACTCTCTCAGAATGTTGTTTCCCCATCTCTTGATATTATTCTTCAACTAATATCACTGTCTACCTCTTGCTTGCTTGCCTGAAACTTTTCACCCAGTACGGTTTTTAAAATGATGTTATGACTTTGAATACGGCCATATATATTTAACTTGGTTTGATTTATTTCTGCAACTTTCATTGCCAGTTTGTTTCATAAGCTATGTGTTTTTGCTTCTTCTTCTGTGTTCACTCTTAAAGGATAGCTGGCAAGTTGTGGTGTGGTTTACAGTTAGGCTACAATATATGCCCATTTAAAAATGGTGTTATGACTTCCAATATGGTTAAAATCTTTAACTTGTTTTTGTCCAATTTCTCAGTCAAGGATGGCAAACATCACTTCAGAGTTCCCATGTAGTTAGCGTCCTTTGGATATTTTCTCAGGATTTGACCAGTAAATTGGGAAACTAACAGGCAGACAAACTGGCTGGTTCTGTACAATTTGGTGTTGAATTGATGCATGACAAGCTAGATGTTGTAAGGGCCCTTTGGGGGGGGGGGGGGATGAACAGTGCGAAGGAAGAGTTGGACCATCATGGTCTGTGGAGAAGGGAGCTGTGAGGAGTGACCAGGAGATCTGGCCCACTCAGGGGAAAGGTGAGACGGATGGGAATTGGAACCTTAAGCTTGCTGCTGAAGATGAGGACAGAGCTCTTATAGGTATGTACTGAGTGATGCAATGTCAATTCTTAATTAAGCATTAAACATATCTGCTCTTTTTGGCCTAACACATCCAATTGAAGCCAAACTTAATAATTTGTTGTTTATAAAATCCACCACAACAATGGAAAGATGGTTTAATCTTCAAATTACCTAAAAAAGGTGATTTATCCGATTGTAACAACTGGAGAGGCATCACCCTGCTTTCGATACCAGGGAAACTATTTTGTAGTATGCTACTAGAAAGATTGAAAAAATCCATAGATGAAAGATTAAGGGAAGAACAAGCCGGTTTTAGATCCAAGCGGTCATGCATAGACCACATCTTTACTCTTAGAATAATTGTTGAAGATTCTACAGAATTCCAGTCGAAATTATTGATCAACTTTGTCGACTTCCAAAAAGCCTTCGACAGTATCCATCGTCCAACACTCTGGAAATTGCTTAACATCTATGGTTTCCCCATCAAATATATCAACATCATAAAATCTTTTTATAATGAAACAAGATGCTGTGTAAGAACTGATTCCGGAAATTCTGACTGGTTCCCGGTGGAAACAGGAGTGAAGCAAGGCTGTGTCCTATCGCCGATGCTTTTTGGTATAGCAATCGACTGGGTCACGGGCAAGTGCATAAATAACGCAAATTTAGGCATTACATGGGTTGACACAATTCTGGAAGACCTAGACTTCGCCGACGACATAGCACTTCTGAGTTCAGAACACACAGACGCCCAAGAAAAAATCTATCGACTCCAGAATTTCTCAGAACAAATTGGACTCCAAATTAACACCGCAAAAACAAAAATTCTAGACCTTACCAACAGTTCAGTTGATATCACGCTGAACAACAACAGCCTTGAAAAAGTCAACAGTTTCACTTATCTAGGGAGCAAGATGTCATCTACAGGAGATACCGCACCAGAAATACCATTTAGAATAGCACTGACATCTAGTGCCTTCAATAAACTGTCCAACATCTGGAAATCAAAGACACTTAGCAAACACACAAAACTCAAGATCTTCAATTCTTGTGTGATTCCAGTACTAACCTATGGATGCGAGAGCTGGAAATCAACGAAAACTCTAGACACAAAATTAGACAGTTTTGAAAATAAATGCCTTAGAAGAATACTAAATTTCAAATGGTCAGATTTCCGAACCAATACACAAATAAGGCAAGAATCCAGGCAAGAGTATGTGTCTAATTTTATACGAAAGTGCCGCTGGAACTATGTCGGCCACGCCCTTAGAATGGTTAAATCAAGACTTCCTTACGAAGCCCTCATTTGGACACCACAGGGAAAAAGATCTCGTGGAAGACCAAGGGAAACCCTACGTAGAACTATCATCAGGGAAGGCTCACTCATGGGCCACTCAAACATCCAAGACCTACAACAGATTGCAACGAACCGCCATGCATGGAGAGTCATGACCTCTGCCCTATGTGCCGCACTCAACACAAGAGGAAAGACTAACTAACTAACTATAAAATGCTTGCTAAGGGGTTTGTTTGGATCCCCCCCCCCCCAAATGGAGCTCCACAATCCACACTGAGAGCCTCTGTACTAGACAGCTTATATCATAAATATAAAGGTATCCATGTTAACATTGGACATTGGCGACCAGGTGGCCCACTTGTTTGCAAGTAGAGGATTTTGACGCCGGGTGAGACAGTATCTATGTCTGTCTCCTTTGATCGCTTCAACACTGCAGGGGTCCTTTTCAGGGCTCTTGGTGGCATGCAAAGCTTAGTCATTTTATACTGCGCACATAACCTAGTCACAATTATAACCTAATGCTCCCCCTTCAGGGGTAACATGATAATTTTGTTCAGCAAAGCACCGTTAACAGTGGAGAAGTGCAGTTTCTTACCTCTCCAGCAAAGAAAACCTTCTCCTCAACATCCTGGGCTAGAGCATCAGAAGCTGAGCTATCTGCTCCGACTGGTACGTATGTATAAGCCATCCCGATATGTGAATCTTGGCCAAAGTGGGTCATGAATAAATGAGTCCATTCAGGTTTTGGTATGTGCTGTGGACAAAATATAACTAAATAAAAGCTTATAAAAAAGCATATCCTTTTTGGATAATAATGCTGTTGACAATATATTCTTAATTATGTTTACTTTATACTGTTTCACACTGATTAAATTATCCTTGAGCAGAACCATCATCATTTGTCAGGTCCTTTGAAGAACATTGATCTCATCATGGCATGCTCAAAAGCCACTCTTCTACTTTCATGCATAGTGTGTCCACGGTTATGATGGTTGTCCACGGTTATGATGGTTGTCCACGGTTATGATGGTTGTCCACGGTTATGATGATTGTCCACTGCTCCTTCTTCTAGGAAAAGTCATGGAACAAATAAACACCAAGCTTCTGTAAAGTCATGGAACAAATAAACACCACAGCTTCTGTAAAGTCATGGAACAAATAAACACCACAGCTTCTGTAAAGTCATGGAACAAATAAACACCACAGCTTCTGTAAAGTCATGGAACAAATAAACACCACAGCTTCTGTAATGTCATGGAACAAATAAACACCACAGCTTCTGTAAAGTCATGGAACAAATAAACACCACAGCTTCTGTAAAGTCATGGAACAAATAAACACCACAGCTTCTGTAAAGTCATGGAACAAATAAACACCACAGCTTCTGTAAAGTCATGGAACAAATAAACACAACAGCTTCTGTAAAGTCATGGAACATGTAACTAATAAACACCAGAGCTTCTGTAAAGTCATGGAACAAATAAACACCACAGCTTCTGTAAAGTCATGGAACAAATAAACACCACAGCTTCTGTAAAGTCATGGAACATGTAACTAATAAACACCACAGCTTCTGTAAAGTCATGGAACAAATAAACACCACAGCTTCTGTAAAGTCATGGAACAAATAAACACCACAGCTTCTGTAAAGTCATGGAACAAATAAACACCACAGCTTCTGTAAAGTCATGGAACAAATAAACACCACAGCTTCTGTAAAGTCATGGAACAAATAAACACCACAGCTTCTGTAATGTCATGGAACAAATAAACAATACAGCTTCTGTAAAGTCATGGAACAAATAAACACCACAGCTTCTGTAAAGTCATAGAACAAATAAACACCACAGCTTCTGTAAAGTCATAGAACAAATGAACACCACAGCTTCTGTAAAGTCATAGAACAAATAAACACCACAGCTTCTGTAAAGTCATGGAACATGTAACTAATAAACACCACAGCTTCTGTAAAGTCATGGAACATGTAACAAATAGGCACCAGAACCTTGTAAGAATCATAACTTCTTCACATTCACTGGTTGTAAAGTCTGACTGAAAATCCTCGCTGCTTATCCACTTCTGGGATTCTTGATCCAGGGCTTACTGAGTGCACATCCATTTCACAGACCTGCTTATTTTATTCTCAGGCGGATACACCCTGACTTAGATGAAAATATCAAACACATAAGATGGCCAGATCCCTGGCCGGGAACCTGTTTCTAGAATGATCACCGTGTGTCGCTCAGCACTCCGGCATCCTGACACCAGAACATCTGTAAAGTCATAGAATATCAAATAAACAGTCAAAAGAACCTTTCTAAACCACAGTGTATGTGCAGAGGGAAAATATGGCTGACCTCTTGCGGAAAGATTACGCGCAAGACTTGCATGATATCCTGGACAATGTCCTCATCCTGGACTTCTTCTTCATCCGCGAAAATGTCTTCGTCTGGATTTTCCACGATCTTTGCAAGAGTCTTGCCAACAAGGTATGTGCTGAGTGTGTGTCTCTGTGTCTGTACAAGCAAACAGAAATCATAGGTTTTATTCATTTCAACAGTATCTCTCTGTGGGTTCCGAGGCCCTGCTTTGGTGTGTGGGAGGGGCCCACTGCCGCCTAATCAAATGTTGGTCAAATATGTTGTAAGAGTAAACTAATTAGGAATTCCTTTGAAGTCGCAGTACATCTGCCTGAGATGCAAAAAACCAACAGTCTGCTACAAGTAAGCCAGATCTGTAAAACGGATGTGCAAGAAAAACTCAAATTCTGGCATAAGACTAAAGCACAAAAGAACAATCTGACGATTCCACCAGAGTTAACAATCAGTGAATGGAAAGTATGTCAACAGTATTTAGTATCGTGTCCTTACATTATGATGACACAAACAATACATTCTGTAATTTACTGCCTGCCATATTTCCCTGGGGAGTCGCTGTGGCATTAGCAGCTAGACGCCCGCGGATCGAAAGGGTTCGCGTCCTGATGGAGCCTGTCTTTTTTTCTAAAATGACCTTGACTCCCAGGTTGACCCAGCCTTGAGTGGGTACCAGGTGCAGTCATGTTTTTTTTTTAAAAATACTTTTTACGTAATTGGGAGCTGCAGTTGCTTGCAGGCTTGCTTTTTTTTGCTTGATGTCCTAGTTTTAAATCAGTCTGAATTAGCCATATTCAGCCTCTGACTAGGCAGCCAGCTTTGTCCCAGTCGGCATCACTTATAATTATGGCAACAAATTACGCTGCTATTTCACAGCGTACTGTTTAGTCATATTTTCTGTCTTTCATGCCTATCTGGTCCGCCAGGTCATGTCCGTTTCATTTTTCAAGCAGTCCCCGTGGATCTAATTGGGTGGCAAAAAGGTTAACTAAAAACCCTTAAAGCCATCAAATATATCTGTGACAATATCTTCCTTTCAATTGAATGTTACCCCCAAATGTTTTCATAAGAAGGAGACTGCAGTAGAACTATTACTAGATGCTTGCTTACTGAATCAAAAAATTACAATTACTCTCATGCACTAATTATGTCAAACCGTTATTTGATCCATTGTAAATGCTAATGCCCTCATGAGAAGGAAACAATCTACATTCTTTGGTCATGTAATGTAAAGGAAAAAACTGGAATACATCGGTGGAAAAGTTGGAGGGGAGAATAGGCAGATGGAGAGTGAGAGAGAAGATGCTGAACAGTCTGACTTTGTGGTGTGGAAGATCATCTGTGTCAGAACTGACTCAAAGTAAATGAGGCAGAAGGTTGTGGACAGAAATGACTACCAATGTCACATGCCATGGCCTATATAAGAAGAAATGGTATGTCAGATCACAGAGAGCTGGTGCTTCCGACTCAATATGGAGGACAGGCATAACATAATGTTCAGCTTTGGGGTTATTTTTGCTCCTGACAACGCTTTGCTAATGCAGTTTCCACATATAAACGAAAGTCTATGGTTTTGCAGGCTTATAGCTAATGCAGTTTCCACATATAAAGATAAGTCTGTGGTTTTGCTAGCTTAGCTACCGAGTTAAGTGCCTGATGCTGCACTGTGAGCTGTGTTTTTCATGAAGAATGCCTTTCACTTTTGCAGTGGTGTCATAGTATTCAATATAGTGAAATACCTTAGGTAATAATTTTACGTGTGTGTGGCCAAATTATCAAGACTGACTACTTCTATCAACGGAAAATTGCATTTCTGATGGCGAATGTTGGCTTTGGCACCTCTAGCAACTGCATTATACATTTACTGTGTATGCATATTTCTGGACTGTGCAGGTACCAATTGTTTATTAACGTTTTTTAAATGGGATAGCAAGATATATTTGATTTGATTTTAACTGGCACAGGAACGGAGTACGTATGGGGTGACTCGAGTGCAGTGAAGTTGAAATCTCAACTGGTACTACTACAGAGGGCTGAGTTATGCATGAGTCCTTTTCATAAATCTCACTGTCTTAGAGGTTAGTGAAAGCGGTTAACAATTTAGTGATCCTCAAGTCCTAGGTTTTTTAAAAACTGTTTTTGCGGTTTTAAGACAACAGTATGAGAGTCGCATTGTGAAAAATATTGGTGCCTCATCAAATAATATAGTAAAATACCCTGTGTGAGTTCCAGATTCCCACTGTGGGGAAAACAGGAACAGACTTAGTGCCTCCCTAACAAGCATGTCATAAGAGCCAACTCATTTAGGGCTTCCTTTAAAGTAGGAGTGCATCTGCCTGATGCAAAAAAAGGAACCAACAGTCTGCATACACATAAGCCAGATACGTTTAGATCATGTGCATGCAGCACTCAACTTCTAGAACAAGACCAAAGTCCAGAAGTGGACGAAGAATCAGAAATTGTGTGCCGGAGTTTACAGACGGTGAATGGGGGGGGGGGGGGGAATATATATATATATAGTAAAATGTCATTAACATAAATTCCAAGGAACTGACAAAAAAAAACACTTTTGTGCTAACCGAAGGACTAATAAATGTTTCATGAATAATACATCACTGCTATGGCCAACATTTTGTTTATGTTAACTGAATGTTCATCTTATGCAGGTTTATGTTAGTGAGGTTTTACTGTATTCCCACAGGCAGCAGTGGCCTCATTAAAGCCAACCTTGATGTGGAGATGACACAATGAATATTTTTTCATAAATGCAATGAACCTACTGAAATATCTGTGGAAGCATCACTTGGAAATGTAGGCATATCAATGGGGAACAGGCCATGCCACTGGTCATACATACCTCTGCACAGTACCCAGGGTAAAAAATATTGTACAGTCCTCGCTGAGACTCTGTTGCTGGTAAATACCCGAATGTCTGTCCAGGCTTGACTTTATGTGACCAAAATCTCTCATGAAACTGCAGGACAACCTGTAAATGGCATGACACAAAATTATTCTCGTAAAAGGGCAGGACAACCTGTAAACAGTGTGAAAATAAAAATTATTCTAGTGAAACTGCAGGACAACCTGTAAACAACGTGACGAAAAATAATTCTGGTGAAACTGCAGGACAACCTGTAAACAGTGTGAACAGAAAGTTTTTCTAGTGAAACTGCAGGACATCCGGTGAAACAGCGTGACGAAAAATAATTCTCGTAAAAGTGCAGAACAGCCTGTAAACAGTGTGATGAAAAATAATTCTTGTAAAAGTGCAGAACAACCTGTAAACAGCGTGACAAAGAAAAACAATTCTCATGAAACTGCAGGACAACCTGCAAACAGCGTGACAAAGAAAAATTATTCTCATGAAACTGCAGGACAACATTTAAACGCGTGACAAAGAAGAAATAGGTCTTATGGAACTGCAGGACAACCTGTAAACGGCGTGACAAAGAAAATAAGTCTTATGAAGCTGCAGGACAACCTGTAAACAGCGTGACAAAGAAAAATAAGTCTTGTGAAACTGCAGGACAACTTGTAAATATCATGACCCCAAAAAAAATATATATATGTGTCTCGTAAAACTGCAGGACAATCTGTAAACAGCATGGACAAACAAAAAAAAAAACCATGAAACTGCATGACAACATATTAACAGCATGATGAAAAATACCATAACCAGTCTCACAAAACCAACATAATCATATACATTTTTCCCCGTGTGAGTTCCAGGGTCCCATTGTAGGGGAAAACAAGAATAGACCCACTGCCTCCCCAAAAGCCTGTCGTAAGAGTCGACTAATTGGGGAGCTTCCTTTGAAGTCGGAGTGCATCTGCCGGAGAGGCAAGGAACCAACAGTTTGTATTCAAGAGAATGAGATCTGTAAAACTGATGCACACGCAACACTCAGGTTCTGGAGCAGGACTGCAGTTCAGTAGTGGACGATCAACCAGAACTTTCCGCCAGAGTGTACAGCTGGTGAACGCGAAGAAGAAGTAGATATAAATTTTTTTTTCTCTCTATTTTGACAACAGCAACAAACAACGTGATCATTGCAAATACCAGTTCCTTGCTTGTGAATGGGGCATTCCTTCATTTTTATTCTTTTTCAATCTGCCTTTTTCCTCTAACGGCTGAGGGTTCCAGTACAAAGACATTCTAGTTATACTATTATCAGGTTCCTTAATGTTTCTTAATGTGTGTCCTATCCATCACCAGGCATTTTTTCCTCACATCATGATTCACTGTTACTAGTTTATTTCTCGCCCAAAGCTCGTTAATAGTGATTTTATCATACCATTATTCCATTTAATTCCCTATATTTTGCAAAGGCACCAGTTAACGGATGTTTGTAGTTGATTAATAACTGTTTTAGTTAATCTCCATGTTTCATCTGCATACAAATTATCATACATTATGTGAACAACAAAAACCAAAATTGTCACTGGTGTATCATCACCTTGCCTTCACACCTCAACTCCAAACCTCATGTCTTGTATTTTTAGAAAGGTATTTCACACATCTATTTCTCTGTCTCCCTGTCTCTTTAACCGTGAGTACTTGCATGGTCAAATACTAAATCTGCATGACAAATAAATGAATATAAGAGAGAACTAACCTTTTCCACACTGCCAGCTCCCAGGGAATTAATAGCTTTCATTTTGGCTTCTGGCAAAGCTGGGTAAAACATAACGCTACTTGTCTTCAACACAGCCAGAGGTAGAGTAACTATCACCTGGCAATAAACAAACATTCATTACAAAATACAGCATGATCGGTGATCACTGGTCATAAACTAGGATGTCGGCAGAGTTCTCTTAAGTTTGCCTATAGCTTAGTTGCTAGGTCTACTGGGTGTGGCAGTATGTTCTACAGCTCCTGCAGGAGAGGACAGTCTTGCCAGACATGTTCTGGAGTCTGTTCTTTGGCACGAAGACAAAGCAGAGAACTGTTTGTCTGAAAGCTTATTTATATGCGTTAGGAACCGACAAAATCGCATTTAGAATATTCCCATAAGAGCTCTGTCACCACCATCAGCAGCAAATGCAGAGTTCCAATTCCGATGCTACCAATAAAAGTTTTTCTGACCTTTTTTCCTGAGAGTTAGGCATCGGCCAGATCCCTTGGACACTCCTGGCCAGATCCCCTGAACAGTCTTTGATGCACCATTCTCTTCAGACCATGACGATCTGTTTGTGCCTCTGCACTTTATTCGCGCCTAGAGGGCCCTTATAACATCTTGCTTGGCATGCAGCAATTTACCACTAAGTAGTGCAAAAGCAGCTAATATATCTGCCTACTCCTTTCCCAACATACCGGAATACCCTTGAGAAAAAACAATGGGTCTACAATGTTCAGTGAGTAACCAAAAGCTGTTGACCTGGTCTCAGGTGTTCGGGGAAATCTTTGAATATTAAAATAATGAGAACACTGACAATATATTGCACAATTTATTGCCTGGCATATGCTGCGGTCTCTGGTCAGGTGCATTACTTCTTATTTTTCACTTCCTTTTTGACAGCTTTAGGTGTTGGTTCTGCATCTTGCTCTTGTGGCCACATTGATCATGGACACATCATGCTGTTACAGAGGTTCTCTGATGTTATCTTTCCATCTTGTTCTTGTGTACTCCACATCCTTTTCCTCTTATGATCTAGGCCTTGCATGTACAAGGCATTTTCTCCAAGTAGGCAAAACATTTGATTTGCTGTCTTTGTATGTCATTTAGAATTGGTTCTTTTTCTCCTGTGGCCTCATTTCTGATTTTATCTCTTATGGTCATGCTTGCAGACCTTGTCAAACATTTCATTTCCACATGTGTATGACTAAAAAGACCCTTTTCCACGCCTTTAGGTGTATGGAGAATATAGAACTAGACCTGTTTGTGGATCAATCGGCACTCGGTGGGCGATGTGGTCAACATCACGCCAGCCGCCTTTACTTCCCAGGTGTGCACATTACTACAGAGTTTATATCAACATAAAGAAGTTACAAACTAATCCATTCAAATTTCCTTGTTTTGACGTTTTCTCAAGCTTTGACAACAAGGTATATGCTGAGTGTGTGTGTGTGTGTCTCCATGTTTGTACAAGAAAACAGATATCAATGGCTGAAATATGCAAATCACATTGTTTCTCGTTGCACTGTATATCTCCCATGAAAATCTAAGATCAACTATGTGATCCTTTGTACACATAATGTGGGAATGCCCATCCTAATTCCTACACATGAAAGTGCTTCATAACAGTACAGAAAACTCAACTTACACACATTCCTGTAGACAAAAGTGCAATTTGACATTGTACTTAAACCAAAAGGAATTCTTACATATACTTGTAGACAAAAGTGCAATTTGACATTGCACTTAAGCCAAAAGGAATTCTTACATATACTTGTTGACAAAAGTGCAATTTGACAGCGTACTTAAACAAAAATATTCTTACATGTACTTACAGATAAAAGTGCTATCTGGCTGGGTATAAAACTGCATGCAAAACACCTCCTAAACTAGCAACTAAAAAGCTACTAAACAAGAAAGGAGGAAGAGGCTGAAGAGGAGAAGAAAGCAGAAGAAGAACAAGAACAAGCAGGAGGTGGTAGAGGCTAAAACCTGCATATACAATATGATTCTGACCCAGACATAACAAAGTAAATCACTATGTGTATAATAGAACAATCAAAGAGCTCAGGCAAACACACAAAAACACCTTATCTGCTGAAAAAACTTGATTCAATCCACAACAATACCTTATCTGCTGAAAGAACTTGATTCAACACACAACAATACCTTATCTGCTGAAAGAACTTGATTTAACACACAACAATACCTTATCTGCTGAAAGAACTTGATTCAACACACAACAATACCTTATCTGCTGAAAGAACTTGATTTAACACACAACAATACCTGATCTGCTGAAAGAACTTGATTCAACACACAACAATACCTTATCTGCTGAAAAAACTTGATTCAACACACAACAATGCCTTATCTGCTGAAAGAACTTGATTCAACACACAACAATACCTTATCTGCTGAAAGAACTTGATTTAACACACAACAATACCTGATCTGCTGAAAGAAATAGATTCAACACACAACAATACCTTATCTGCTGAAAGAAATAGATTCAACACACAACAATACCTTATCTGCTGAAAGAACTGGATTCAACACACAACAATACCTTATCTGCTGAAAGAACTTGATTCAACACACAATACCTTATCTGCTGTTAAAAACTCATCATTCGCTTTCACCCCGACTTGTGGGCCTCTGTAATCAATGTCCGTCACCTTGGGATGTACAGAACACATGATATCAGGGTCAAAGCTACCATTCAGTACAGTAGAGCTATGCAAGGCTGAAGTGTTATGGTTGTGCCTGTGCTTGTAAAGGATTTATCTGTACATAAAAACCTACAATGGTGGATTGGTTTATTTTGTAAATTTTCTAGAACAATCTTTCTCATTTGGTGGTCCTCAAGCTCCAGGAGTTCAATAAACAAATTTACAGGGTCAGCGATATTGAGAATATTTTTAAATAATAATAATAATAACAATAACAATAGTAATAATAAAAATTACAGGTATAGATCTTTATGGCTGATAATTTAACATTAAGATCAACATAAATTTCCACTCATGCTATTAGGCATCATGGGAAGGGACAGATCGCAATCCATTGCTTGATGGGCAGCAATGGCTACTGCCATTATGTGTCAATGTAGAAACTCTTTAATATCATCATTCCATCATCTCCTGGGGCAACCTCTTGGTTTTACTTTCAGATCTTTTCACAACCACAATCTACTTTCATGGATGGTACTCACTGCTTACTTAGGGCAATGGAATGCTTGCATGAATGCCTACAGTTACGTTTCTCACCAAGCCATCAGGGATTCAAAATGAATGTTTAATTCTCTCACAACTGTTGATATTTCTTTAACGCCTTTGCAATAAAGCTACTGGAACCGGTTTCAAATGAATGCTCCTAATACAATATAACAGCATGGTTAAATAGTTAATGGTGTATCCTTTTACAGGATGCCATATACACTCAGGTTACACTCATTTTTAAAAAAGTGATCGCTGCCAAAATTGAACCCGGTATGTCACAATGATTAAACCAGTCATAACCTCTAACTAAGCCACAGACCCCCCACAGTTTTTGAACTGATACTGAACATCTTTTTTGTTCACCAGTTGTCAGCTCTGGCAGAAAGTCCTGGCTGTTTGTCTATTTGGACTTTTGCTTGGCCAGGGCTTGAATTCTGCGTGTAGATCCGTTTTACTGGCTTATTTGTGTGCTGTTGGTTGTTCCTTTTGCTGCTCTGGAAGATGCACTCCGACTTCGAAGAAAGCTCCCAATTAGTCGACTCTTACAACATGCTTTTTTAGGGGGGGCAGTGTGTCTATTCTTGCTCTCCCCACAATGGGGTCCCAGAACCCACTTGGGAAGAACTTGTTCTATTTCACAAGGACACTTTAATGTTCTCTGTAATACATATGTAGGGTGGCTAGCCGCTCTGAGGAGAGAGGCTGAGCCAGATTGGATCATACTTAATGCAATTAAGTTTTCTTCTTTGTCTTCTCTGTCGGCTGTAATTTGCAGCAGAAGGTTATGGTTGTTCATCCCACTCCTGGACTTTAGTCTTGTTCCATAATTCAGTTTTGTGAGCACCTCCATTTTACAGATCTGGCTTACTCTTCGCCGTCCCTCCCCCCGCCTAAAAAATGGGGGTCTCAGGACCCACACAGTGTCAGTGAGATCAAATCCCATCTGGTGGCATTGCTGACTATTAACCCTGTTGCCCCTGAGAAGCCGCAAAACCAAAACCTATGATGGGTCCAATTGCCTAAGAAAGCATTTAACTAACTTTTCTACAATGATGCGTTTACCAGACACAAAGTTAATGCAGCTGGCTGTTTTTAATGACTACGCAAACATTTAGGAGGTGAGGATATAAATATATCAACTAAAAATAGCATGTAGGGGGATTTTCCTGTGAACCAAAGTTTTAATTGTCAAATTTTTTTTTTTTTAAATCAAAGTTGAAAACAAATCTTGTAAGTCTCAAAAATAAAGGTCACAACGTTAGGGCACAAGTCACCCTACACATATATTACATATACTTGTTAGGCCCCCGGGAATGTATTTCATTTAATACTTCACTCTGTTTTCACTGATTGCTTCCTTTATATATCTTTATATATTTCAAGAATAATTTTGTTAATGTAAATAAATTTTAAAAAACATAATTAGTGACCTGTATTAAATTTTTTTTTTTTTTTTATTAATTCTTTTTTTTTTAAACTCCCAGTTTAATTTTTTAGTGTTTTCAGGGTGGTTGGGTTGAGACCTTTGTTTACGCCAGTAAGTACATAGGGCACATGGTAGAATTTATATTTTTGTAGATAAATTGGCAGAGTAATGAGGTGAACATCATGCCGACCATGTTTACTTTCTAGGACATTACCTGGTACCCATTTAAGGCTGGGTCACAGATTACCTTTACCACACACATGTTACAGCCAAACAGCAAACATTAGCCATTACCTCGTAGCCATATCTTATATCAAGATCTTCTGCAAGCTTGGAGAGAATGGAACCAAAACCCTGCGGTACTGAGATCTGACCTCCGTTAAAGTGTGGCATATCATCATTCTGGTCCCAGTGGAGAGAAGACAACTGGCTTAGGTTACAGCCATTTGCATACTCCAGGCTGCCGAGGTGAAAGTTCATTATCTGCTCCTCCTCCTGTGAAAACAAACCCTTTGTATGCGGGTTGAGTTTTAACATTAAACAAAAGCCAAACAAGTGAACAGTAATGTAACCAACAGAAAACAAGAATTAATCAATTCAGCCACAATGAAAGTGATCTTATTTGGTTCCTATCTCTTTACCTAGATCACGTACCACTCTACGAATACTGCTTGTGCACGGCGGTAGCCACACGACAGGCAACAACAGTCTTGGCTAACCTATATGGGTGAAGTGGGAGTAAAATCCCACTTTAAGGGAACGTCCATCCCTGCTCATCAAAAACTGGGACGGCGAAAAAGGCAGATGAATATAAAGATCAATGCCCTGTAAGGCAAAACAGCAGAGCGTTACGTATGTCGCACATGTGAGATGTGATTGGGACACAACAGAGAACATGGCAGGCCATCTTGAAAGAGTCATGACTGAAAGAAAATCAAGGTTAGCTTAACTTAGAATTTCTGGCAATCCTGGACAATTATTAAACATTGAAAACATGAAAAAATGAATTGCTTGGCAACCCTAGCTTATTTTGTCAGGTGCTTTACTAAACAAAAGTGGTTCACCATGGTGTAGCAGCTAGATGCTTGCCTGCGGATTGGAAGATTATGGGTTCAGGTGCTGATGGAACCGGGCTTTCTTCAAAAAAGACCTTGGCTCCCAGATCGACCCAGCCCTGAATGGGTACAGGTGCAGTACTGGGAAGTAAAGGCGGGTGGCGTGAGTTTGATCCAATCACCCAGCAAGTGCCGATCGGTCTACGAAATAAAGGTCTAGCCCTATATGCTGTTAAGCCTGAGGGAGTGGGAAAAGGTTTACTTACAAGAGAAAAAAATATCTGAAAGATGCTAACCACACGCAGCCTCTGAAGCGATATTTCCATCAAGTTTTATTTATTTATTTTGACGCTTGTGTCATAAAATATAACCACTATTACCAGTTAAAGGTCTGGAAAAAGTATTTAAGCATGATGTTTAAAAGCCTCATGACCAGAAGTTTACTGACCTGACTGACTTTTTAACCCCACCAGGACATCACAAGGAGCGACAAACACCCGGTGACACAAAAGTGCTACAATTCGGATGAGGATCACCCTTGGAGAGGTCCCAGAATCCCTGTTCAACCGTTATATTAGGGACCCCCTGCAACAACCTTGGTGAGGCATCAAAATAACAAAAAATTCATCCCACATGCGGATGGAGATCTGTCATTTTACTGACCTTGCTATTTCGTGTTCCTGTAACTTTGCATGTTGAAAATTATATTAATACAAACAATTTCAATATAGTTTTGAAATTATGGAAATAATTACCTCTTTAAGGTTGAAACTTAAAATTTTTAGACACAATGCCCACTAAACCTTAATGTACTTTAAGAATTACTGTTACCAACAAAACAATAAATCAAATTTGTAAGAGAAACGTGTTGAACAAAAATAAAAACTGCAATCTCCGCCCTGGCAATAAACTTACTTGTGAGAAATATCCCTGTGTTTCCCTGAGAAATTCTTCGTGGAATTCTTTAAATTTGCCTGAAGTTTCACAGAAGATTTAATCATACAATGCACACATTAACAAAACGAAACTGTTAACATTTGACTGATAAAATAATACACAATATTTCATAACTTTAGGAGCTGTAGTAGCCATATGCTTGCCTGCCGGCGCAAAGGTTTTGGCTTTGAATCCACAGTCTGAGTCTAAAATGGGTATCAGATAAAGACCTGGAAAGTAAAGGCAGCTAGTGTAATTGTAGCTAGTGTGCTGAACTGATCTATAAATTTATGAGTCTAGCTTAATATGGCCACTGACATGAAAATGGCCATTACTTCCCCTTCATATCTGGTCTGATAGTCAACACAAATATCATGTCACAGATATGCAAGTACTTTGGCAGCCTAAAACATGACAAAGGTAAGACATCACTAGGGTGACCATAACACCTTGAGCTGAAATTGGGAGCTGAAAATTGGAGATCACACTAATATTTTGAGCCCAAAATGGGACACCCTACTAAAATTGTGAGCTGAAAATGGGACATCCTTTTAATATTTGAGCTGAAAATGGGACACCCCTTTAATATTTGAGCTGAAAATGGGACACCCCACTAAAATTTGGATCTGAAAATGGGATACCCCACTAAAATTTGGATCTGAAAATGGGACACAACACTAAAATTTGGATCTGAAAATGGGACACACCACTAAAATTTGGATCTGAAAATGGGACACCCCACAAAAATTTGGATCTGAAAATGGGACATCCCACTAAAATTTGGATCTGAAAATGGGACATCCCACTAAAATTTGGATCTGAAAATGGGACATCCCACTAAAATTTGGATCTGAAAATGGGACATCCCACTAAAATTTGGATCTGAAAATGGGACATCCCACTAAAATTTGGATCTGAAAATGAGACATCCCACTAAAGTTTGGATCTGAAAATGGGACATCCCACTAAAATTTGAATCTGAAAATAGGACATCCCACTAAAATTTGGATCTGAAAATGGGACATCCCACTAAAATTTGGATCTGAAAATGGAACATCCCACTAAAATTTGGATCTGAAAATGGGACAACCCACTAAAATTTGGATCTGAAAATGGGACATCCCACTAAAATTTGGATCTGAAAATGGGACAACCCACTAAAGTTTGGATCTGAAAATGGGACATCCCACTTAAATTTGGATCTGAAAATGGGACATTCCACTAAAATTTGGATCTGAAAATGGGACAACCCACTAAAGTTTGGATCTGAAAATGGGACATCCCACTTAAATTTGGATCTAAAAATGGGACATCCCACTAAAATTTGGATCTGAAAATGGGACATCCCACTAAAGTTTGGATCTGAAAATGGGACATCCCACTAAAATTTGGATCTGAAAATGGGACATCCCACTAAAATTTGGATCTGAAAATGGGACAACCCACTAAAATTTGGATCTGAAAATGGGACACCCCACTAAAATTTGGATCTGAAAATGGGACAACCCATGCAGGGCAGTTTAACCCTTCTAATTTTTTTTTTCTAGGTCACCAGGCCAAAAGGGGCAGTTACTGGCTAGACAATGGTATTAAAACTTGAAGTCTTATCAAGAAATAAGCGAAACTGTATGCTCATTAACTGCCCTGAGAAAGGGGGGAAAAACAGCAAAAATCAAACTTTCCATTAACACATCTCAGTCACTAAAAGTATCTATTCTAGTGTATGTTCTTGTCTTTAGCTAATTCCTAGATTTTCATAAAAACACGACAATTGCAGATTTTTTTGTTTCTTTTTGTGAAGTACCAACAGGGGTATACCGGAAAAACATAAATGCTTGGTAAAAACGGGACACATTGTCACCCTAGACATCATCCAGTAGCTTCTTATGGACTCACCTTTGCCCCATAACAGTCTCTTGAAATCACTTTCCATTTCCAGTGTTTTCAGTTGTTTGTGCTGTATTTAGTATTCCGTTGATGAAAACTTTGGTCTAAATGTTTGGTTGTGTTCGTCTGCGTCTTTTCCACTCCTTCTTTTGAGCTTTCTAGTCAATTTGTGTGTTAGATTCAGCATTTCATGTAGAAATTGAACTACCACATCTTGAATTCAACTGCATTTTGGTCCATCTTTTCTCCACTTCCCTGGACACTCCCATCTTTTTTTTTCCCGACAATTTTCATCAGATCTTTCTTTTTTTTTTTCTTCATATCTTGATTTTTACCTTAATAACACACCTTTTCATTTCTAAATTTTTTTGGGGGTTCTATTCCTTTCACATAATGTTTAGTACGTTTCAGTAAAATTTATACTAAAAGGCACACATGTGCCTTTTAGCTGATTAGCCAAAGTCAGAAACATCATCATGTGCCACGCTGGTAAACAGGGTGTCATATTTCATCATCTCAAACGATCACATGAAACATCGATCAAGTCAATGTTTTTGTTTAGCCCCATCCATGTGGCTAAGCTAACCAGGTTTTATCTCTCTGCCTTCCTCCTGCTCTCTTTCCACCAATCCTGCCAGTTGTTACCAAGTTCACAAAAACATTTCTTCTAACAACATGTCCGACATACACTAACAGTCAACACTAAATTGTTCTAATAAGTTTATGAATTTCATTCATCTCAATGAGGACTGCTTCATTTTTTATTATCCCTGCGTGCTATTCTTTGCATTCTCCTCAAAAAGCACACCTGTGCCGCGAGTAAATGTTTTACAGCGTGTCTGCTTACTACCCATGTCTCCCAGACGTCTAACAACAAAGGTTCTACATATCACATTAACACTCTTTTTCTGACTGCAAATCACATCTTCTTATTGATGAGAATCTTTGACATCTTGCCAGTGGACTCTTTTTTTATAGCCTTTCTTGCTTTTATTTCTATATGCTTAAGAATTTTGCTGTTTGCAAAACATAGGTAAATGAAAACAGTTACTGTGATCCTCAACAAAGATAAACAAGGATGAAGTGCAAAGACCAGGGTTCATAGCCAAATTTACCAATCAATTTCAAGGCTTTTCAAGGTCTTTTTCAAGGTCTCCTTAGTTTTTTTCAAGGTTGTCTCGGTGTAATACTGAAACAAGATTTTTGCCTTGTTCAAGGGTGTACTAAGCACACAAGGTACTTCACTTGTGCCACATGTGTTGGTATACCAGCACAGATATCATCATCATGTAGCATTTCCTTTGTCCTGACAAAAAAACCTCGGTCTCTCACCAGCCCTCCCGCCTCATGTACTTTTTTATACTCAAGGAGTCACTTATATCCTGTGCCCATCTTCGTGTTGGTCGGCCCCTGAGCTTGATATAGTGTTTGAAATTTTTTTTTAGGGCTTGGTGGTAGAGGGCAGCAAACTGAAGTCCTGTCTGTTCTGGACCTGGTACCTGAGAGGGTTAGGGGGAGAGAGAGAGAGTCATGAAGAGAGAGGAAGACACATGCTGAGGTAGGCTGGGAGAGACAGTGTAAAGATGGACAGATGAAGGTAGAGAAAAGAAGGAAAAGAAGTCTGGGGAAGGAGGAAAAAATGAGAGGGAGGGATGGAGACATGATGAGGAAAAGTGGGGAAGGGACAGCGAAAGACAGAGAGGGAGACAAATACAGAAAGAGGGAATGCAGATACAGAGATGGGCAGATGAAAAGAGAAGGAAAAAGGGAACGAAACAGAGATATGGAAGGAGGAAAATATGACAAAGAGTTGAAAGAAGGGAGACAGAGGGAGAGAGAACGGACAGGGTGAGAAGCAGATGCAAGCAGAGAGAGATGTAGACATAAAATAGAGAGAGAGAGAGACAAAGGGACAGCACAGAGAGGCAAGCAGACAGAGGGAGAGAACCAAAGAAAGAGAAAAAAGGCAGAACAGGAGAATGGGAGGGAGGTATACAAAGAGGAAGTGATGAAGGGAGGCAAACAGACATAAAGCAAGAGAGAGAGAGAGAGAGGTGGGTAAGGAAGGCAGTGACAAACACAGATTAAGAGAGAGGGGCAGGAAGGGAGACAAGATACATCAAAGAGAAAAAACAGCCACCTACTCCCCCCCCCCCCTCCCCCACACAATTTCAAGTGTAGTGGACACAACCACTAGGAAAAGAGTTATGGGGCAAAAAAATACGTAGATGAACCAGTAAAAAATGGGGGGGGGGGGGGAGAGAGAGAGAGAGAGAATGAGAGAGGGGAGCGGGTAAGGAAAACTAGAGAAAATGAAAAGACAGGATGGAGAGGAGACAAAGAAGAGATGGGACAGGAGAAAGGGCAAGGAAAGGAAGAGAGGAAGAATGGAGAGAGAAAGGAGAATAGTAGAAGATCAAAGGAAAGAGAAGGGGTGAGAGAAGAAAGGTAAGACACGGTTGTGGGGGGGGGGGGGGGGGGGTGTAAGAACAATGAGTGCCAAAAATAGAATTAGGAAATCTCTAAGTGAGGCCACTTTTCCAGTTCCTACCCTCTCCCAATGTGAATGTGGCCGTGGTCCAAAAACAACAGTGCTAACCCCTACTGCCCCTTGCTTGTCCTATCTGTGTGTGACAGCAATAATTCAATTTCTTACACTTAAGGCTGGTGACCTGAGAGCCAAGGTCATTTTATGAAGAAAAAAAAATCCAGGGGATCCCAACCCACCACTGGTAGAAAATAGAGAAGTTTACCCACACACATAAATAGGGCAGACACATAAATAGGTCAGGGCAGCAGTGGACTTCATTTTATTTCTGGTTTTCCAATTACAGAAAGGAGGGGAGAGAGGAGGTGGTGGAAAGTGGTGTAGAAGGCTGAGGTGGTAAGGGTGAGACAGGGGAGGTGAGAGAATAAAGTTTAAGAAAATAAAGTGGGAATGAGACAGGGAGAGAAAGAAGGGAGTAAGAAATAAGATGAGACACAGAGGGAAGAAGGTAGCAGGAAGGGGTGCACTCCCTCCCCTTGGTGTCATTAATGTGGGAGGAGAAAAAAAAAGGGGGGGGGGGGGGTGACGGCAAATGTGTTTTTAAAAGTACACATATATTTAATGTGTGGGAGGGGGGAATGGTGGACATGAAATGTTCTGCACTAGGCAACACATAACCTTCTACACCAACTGAAGGTATGGAGAAAGAAAGAAAGAGAGAGAGAGAGAGAGAGAGAGAGAGAGAGAGAGAGAGAGAGAGAGAGAGAGAGAGAGAGAGAGAGAGAGAGAGAGAGAGAGAGAGTGAGGGAGAGTGGCAAATACAAAGAGAAAGAGAGAGAGAAAAGCAGTGACACAGACAGGCAGTGAGTGAGGAACAGGTAGGACAAAATGTGAGGGGGCGGGAAGGGAGATGGACAGAGCTTAAGGCCGCTAGGAAAACAAACACATCAAAAGAAAATATCCACCATGTTCACACAGAATGCCCCCCCCCCCCCCCGCAATACAACTTCCTGTGTACTTGAGTTGCTAGGAAGAGTTATGGAGCCGCACATTTACTAAACATTTAAACAAGAAATAAAATAGGAAAAAGGGGGAGGGGGGACAGGAAATGAGAGTCAATGGAAAGATAGAGAGAAAGAGAAGAAGATAAAGATCAGAAGGGAGGGTTAGAGACAATGCAGGAGACGGGAAGGAAGGAGCAATAGGTAAAAGAGTGAAAAAGGGAGGGAAGAGAGAGAGAGGGGTGAGACAACAGAAGAGGGAATCTCGGGGAATTACAATACTGATCGCCAAACACACTGTAAAGATAAATCCAGGCCAAAAATAGAACTGGGAAATCCAGCTGCAGTCACTTTGCTTAGCCCCAATGCCATCTCTAATTAATAGAGAAGGCCGTGCTTAGCTCCCACCACGGCGACTCTATTTATAGATACAACTGAACCGAGCCCCACCATCTCCCAATGTAATCCTTTCTAGAAACCACGGCCATAAACGATTTTTACTGTTCATTCTGCCCGACTTGCTAGAAACAAAGGCACACACACACGCGCGAGACGGAATCTGCTACTTCCCGCCCCAAGCCACACCGCTGCTGTCTGCATGTATTCATGATCTGCAACACAGCTCGCCCTCCCCTGGCCTTTGACAAGCCATTTCGGCTGAAAATAGCCAATAATCAGCTGCCCTCACACCTGAAACGACCATACAACGAAAGTAGCCAAAAACTAGCCAAATGGCCAAAAAAGCCAAATGGCTCCCCCAAAATTGCCTTTGCTGAGAAACACAGGATTTCTGACGATTTCATTGCCGTGGTCAAAATTCACGGCTTTTCAAGGTCGGAATGTCTTTTATAAGCTAAAATTCACGGTTCAAGGTCAACGAAAAAAATCCCGGTAATTTCCCGATTTCCCGGTCCACTACGAACCCTGAAAGACACTGAAACCTTCAGGAACAAACAAACAAATTACGATCTTTATGTGGGTTCAGAGCTCCAATTTGGAAGAAAACAAAACAGACTCACTGCTACCTAATAACATGTCATAAAAGGCATCTAAGTAAAGGAATGCTGAACTTGAATGTGTTGGGAGCAGAAGGTGCAGATATCACAGCCTAGTGTAAACCACAATAAAACGTGTCAACCCCACTTTTAACAGTGAATGCAGAACTAGAAGAAGAAATCGAAAATGATGACGGAGGAGATGAAGAAGATGCTGATGATAAAAAAAAAATATTTCAATAGATGAGTTAGGAGAACTGGCAGAGAAGACTGACAGCACTTCAAGCAGCTTAAAATGAGCCATAATCTTGTAAACAACATGCTACATGATGATTATTCACACACAAACAAGTGTCTACACTTACAAATTAAAGGTAGATCTTCTTGTGGTGTTTTATTCTTCCGCCACTCAGACACAATGTCCAGGATGGCGTTGAAGTGGAAGTGAATCCTGCTCTCTACCTTCTCATCAACAACCTCCCCAAGCTGGTTAAACAGGACTGTGTTTGATGACTCTTCCACATCAATGCCTGCCTTTTATTGGAAAAAAAGAAACAGAATAATAAGACTTTTTTAACAGTTTGCTTGAAATGTTGCAAGCTTAAGACTCAACTGTCTCTCTCTCTCTTATTCTCTCTCTCTCTCTCATTCTCTCTCTGCGTTTGTGTGTGTGTGCGCTTGCGATTTGGGGGGGGGGGGGACAGGTTTGTGTGAATGATGATGATAAAGGAGGGGGAAAAAATGGATGTGTTTTCAATGACAAACACAACAATAATCAGATGCTCACAAGGAAACACCTCGTACCTGATAAGCTATGAGAGCTAGTGGATTATTAACACAGCCCTTGATGAGATACCCACTGGCAGACAGCACCTCAATATCACAGGTGTGGTCCCAGACACGCCCACCCGGCTTCTTCTTAGCTTCCAGCACAGTGACCTGGTAGAATGACAGAAATTACTGAATGTATTCAAACAAGTTTTTTTATACAATGCAGATCTTACAAAAAACTCAGAGGCCCCAAGAAATGGTTTTCCTTACCAGAAATTCCTCTTAACCAGATAAGAGTTTGAGCAAGAAAACTGCCAGGGATGAACACATTATTCTTCACAAAAGAAATTCGCCACATCCAAGATTGTCCTAAGAGGTCTGCACTGTAGATGGTTAAAGAACTGGGCTCTCATGCAAGTGACCCAGGTTGGATCCCCAGTAAGGTATGGAGATTTTTTTCTGTAAGAGGCAAAAATAAACATCCCAGCCTGCACAGCTTGTGGGATCTGTACCAGCCATAGTCTTGAATCCTCAGTGACAGAAAAATGTGACCAATTTGTGGTGATCTTCAGATCTGGTAAGGCTTTTATCACTGACATGACAGAAAAATGTGACCAATTTGTGGTGATCTTCAGATCTGGTAAGGCTTTTATCACTGACACGACAGAAAAACAACCTATTTGTGGTAAGTTAAAATCTGCAATAATAAGTTATTAGAGTGGTTAGGTAGTTAGTCTTTCCTCTTGAGCCTAAGGTGGCACACAGGGCAGAGGCTATAGCTTTCCATGCCTGGTGGTTCCTTGGCACCTGTTTTAGGTCTTAGTTGTTCATTAGGCCCATGGTTGAGCCTTCCTTGATGGTGGTTCCACCCAGGGACTTTCTTGGTCTTCCCCATTTTCTTTTCCCTTCCAGGGTCCATATGAGGGCTCGATGGGGGAAGTCCTGTCTTATCCATTCTGACTGGATGTCCGATATAGTTTCAGCGGCGCTTTCTTATAAAACTGTGTACAGTCTTGCTAGTACTCTTGTCTTATTTGCGTAATGGATCTGAAATCTGTCCAGTGGAGAATTAGTATCCTTCTAAGACATCTGTTCTCAAAACTGTCTAATTGTTTTTTTTAATCTAAAGCTATTGTTGCTTTCCAACTCTCTCATCCAGAAGTTAGCACAGAAATTGTTACAGTGGCAGGCAGGTATGATTTCCATCTTCAGTTGCAACAGTGCTGAGATGGAATCCAACAGATTTTATTTTCCAGGGCCTTCTTTTTTTTCTGTCTTTTAAATCCTAATAGATCATACACAGTAAGCCAGCTGATGTCAAGACCTTTGCAGATCTATTCACGATTGGCTGGATTTTGCAGCTAAACTTGTCTACAGGGATGGGGCAGCCAATTCTATGACAACCTTCCTGTTTCCTTTTATGACATGCTTGGCTTGGCAAGTTAAAGTGTCACTTCCTTGTGCAGATTTCAGGGTAACACGGATTCCTGATACAAAAATTTGATGTGTTGAGTTGAAAGGTGCAGATATCACAGCCTAGCTGTAAACCAGAGTTTGGGGAAGAATATAGAAGAACAATAAGAGGAAGTCCCCGTGAAGATTCTAGGGCCCCATTATTGGTGGGGGGGGGGGGGGGGAGATGAGATTTACTGCCCCCTTAAAAGGCATGTCATAAAAGTCGACTAATTAGGTATGTTTCGGTTAATGTCAGAGTACCTAAGAGGCAAAGAATCCTCAGTCTTCACACCAAAAAAATGGATGTGCATATGAAACTCAAGCACTAGAACAAGACGAATGTCCAGAAGTGGCTGAACAACCAAAACTTTCTGAAGAGTTTATAGCCACTGAATACCAAGAAGGGGAAGAAGAAGAGTCAGTACTTTATTTATTTTTTTCCCTTTATGTGCTCCAGTAACACTTGGTGTCAATTTACCTAGAAAGCAACAAATAAATGTCTCTGAAAGTCTGGTACCATTAACAAACAACAAAAACTGCAGCACAACGTCTAGTTTGAGAATGGAGGTAGGGTACTTTCTTATTAGCTGAACACAAACAGGAAAATCTACAGATCACGGGACAGTCAAATATTTCAGGGGGTGGTCAGGGTTAAGGTTGGGTTAGGGTAAGGTAAACGTGCAAAAACCTTGGCCTTGGAAGAAACGTGCTAAAGCATGATACTATGATATGATGACAACCTATTACTCTGATACAACCACAAGAAGACAAACCATTAGCTTGATGCCATGACATATTGGCAAGCTATTACCTTGATACCCTGACATGATGACAACCCATTACCCTGATACTATGATATGATGACAACCCATTACCCTGATACTATGATTAGATGACAACCCATTACCCTGATACTATGACATGATGACAACCCATTACCCTGATACTATGACATGATGACAACCCATTACCCTGATACTATGACATGATGACAACCAATTACCTTGATGCCATGTGAATGTAGAAGGTGAGCCGCTGCCAACCCGCTGGCACCAGCACCAATCACAATAACAGATTCCTGTTGGCAAAAAAAAAAAAACACAAACATCATGTTAGGCAAGAGATTCTTTCCATGTCAGTGGTACACTGAACATATGATGCTGGGCTATATATTTTCTAGAAATGAATTCACTAAACACAGGCTAACTAGTACGCTCAATGAGTGGGGAAAAGAGAGGAGAATATGCACAGATACAACTAAATGATTTGACCTAAGACTGTAACAGCAACTAAAACAAGAAGAAGAATCCTTATAAAGCCAGTCCCTAAATTAGGTCCCATTGTGCCATTAGATGTCAGATAGGGCTCGCAGTCTATTTCTCTGTATTATTCTACCCTGTGTAGTTACTTCAATATCATGGATATCCTTTCCGGCCAGTTTCTGTAGCAAAAACTTTTAGTACAGGGTTGGGGAACTGGCCCACACGTCCAACCCTTCTCCTTTCTCATTCAGGCCTGGGACCGGCAATGGTGAAGATTTGCCTGTCTATATAAAAACATTTTTTAGTGATCTGAACGAGCAGAAAGTTTTTTTTTTAAAGTGAAGGATGCATTTCTACAACTGTGTATGTGATGCTAGTCATAAATTTCGATAATAATTGACACTCTGGGATGGCTGCTGCACCAGAGGACTGAGCACTCATGGCAATGCTCAATATCCCGAGATAACATAACACAACATTACCTGAACAAAAATCATAGTAGAGTTTTTATACATATACTTTTCCTGTTGGCAACTTATAGATGCAATGGGACTCTCACTAAGTCTTTGAAGAAAAAAATCTGAGCTTTTGAACTGATATGCTAAAGAAAATACCACAGACAAAAAAAATGAACAATTGACCTCCTGCATGTGCTGAACATCAAAGAGAACTAGCTCATAAAAGTCTCCTCTCCTGAAAGCTCAGGTATTTTGGACATGTAGAACACCTGGTGATCTGCAGAAAACAAGGCATGTGCGAAGTATTATACAGGACACTGAAGATGCACTGACTGAAAGCACACTGGGCTGGAGAATTTGGCTAGAGAAAGAGAGACTTTCAGGTGTGCCGTGATAAAAGCGGCATTAGGATTCATCATCATCATCATCAGGTGTCTTGCTGACTGGCGTGGGCAATCATGCTTCTCCATAATCCACGATCTCCTGCAGCATGTATCAGTTCGTGTGCCGACACACCTCCATGCCATGCAATAAGACTCAAGAATCTTCTCTTGTTGTCTTCCTCTGTCCCTCCTTCCACAGATCTTTCCAGTGGTCACAACATGTTCTATTTTCCCTCTTCTCATAACATGGCCGAAAAATGATGACTGTCTCCTTCTGATGTCAGTGATAAGTTGTCTTCGGGCTCCCGATTAGTGCGTTTGAATCCCAGGATATCCATGGTAATGGCAGGGCCAGCTAGTGAATGTAAAAGCTGGGCGGCCAGCATTTCAGATTAGGGACTCTCACAACTTTTGAGGCTAACTGTTAGTTTGACTTGATCTTTGTTCATTCAAGATTTTGTGTGCTCCACCTGCGTTTGGTTTGAGTATGTGTTATAGTTTTGTCTGTTATTGGCTTACGACATGAGCCAGAGTAAATATAGAAAAGAGAAGGTCGCTGACACAGCATTCTGTAACGGACATGCTGATTGATTAAATGATTTATATATCTATGACTGCACAACCTTTGCAAAAATTCACTAAGCTACACTTAGTATTTGTTAGCTGTTTGTAGCTCTTCTGGAAAACTTCTTCTTCTTTCACATTCTATAAAAGTGGTTAGAAAGCTGTCTTTATGTCTACAGCCAGGCTGCAATACATGCTTCTTTTGGCCAGATTTCACTAAAGTTCTAATTTCTCGCTTTTTATGACATAAGTTTCCAGTAGTTTGCCATTGCCTTTAACAGTCTACGACCCCAATATCGTAGAAATAAACAAAAAGTGGTCTGCTATCAAATTTAATCTTGTGTGTTGGAATTATGACACTGTGTTTATACCATCTAAACTATAAATCCAAAGAAAAAAATTGAAACAGAAATGAACATTTAAAACATAAATTACCAGACAAACTGTACTCACCTGAGTATCACAATGGAGTGAACAAGGTGGAGCCACCAATCCCTGGTTAATGAAGTTGTGGTATGTGAGGAAAGACAAGATCTGTGGCAGGAATTCTATACAGCTGACCCGCGTTAGGCCCCGGCAGATTATATGCCTCATGCATTTCTCTTTTGAGACCCATTCCTAGAGTAGGAGATGAAAGGTATCTTTTCATTTATGTTATTACTTGCCCATCTACTTCGTACTTCATATTTCTTGGCACAGTTCTGTGTAAAAGATGCTCAGAATTAGACCTTATGTATCTCTAAATTTGAGTAAAAGAAATCAAAAATCATATATGGGTGTGGAAGAATATACCTAATCTCAATAATGCATAAAAAATACCTCATATTATATAGGGTTGCTAGAATAGGTACTTTCAATATCTTGAAATTAGTGTAAAAGATAATGCCAAATATGGATGCTAGAATCTGTACTTTAAATATCTCCACATTAGTGTAAAATATACCAAATGCTGAGCGGCTCCGTGCCTTAGAGGTTAACAAAATTTCATGATCCTTGAGTACTAGGGTTCGTTGTCCGCCATAGACGATTAAAAAACAACTGTCCAAGTGTTTCTGGACAATGGTACGAGAGTCACACCACGGAAGAGACTGGGGCCTCACTGTATAATACTCTCAAAGGCAAAAGTGTACATAAAAGCCAACCTTCACTGTGAAGATGGCACAGATTTTATTTTTTGTACCAAATGTCATAAATGGATGCTAGAGAATACACCTTATCTCCACTAATGAGTTGTTGCGAATCCTCTACAGGACGTTGAAGAACCAACCCTAACAGCCCCTGGCTGTTGTATGGTTTCTCTAGGCAAATTTACGTCCAGTAGTTTGCCATTGCTTTCTGGACGGTCGGCATTCTTGATACCACCGTCGAAACCAACGCAAGGCGCATTGCCGGCAGCTGGGATCAAACCTGGCATCCCGGCATTACGAAGCGAAGTGTTCGCATCGACTTAGCCACCTGTCTTTATTGTCATTATGTACCACTTTTTGGAGCAGTGTGAGATCTCTTGAGTATGAGGATTTAGTGCTGCATGGCTAACACAGTCGCTACGGCTGTGTTATTATGTTTTTTCAGTACTTCGCTGATAAACACTTTGGTAAAATGTTTAGTTATGCTTGTGTGTGTCTTTTCCATTCCTTTCTCTTAGCTATCTAGTCACATTTTATTTAGCCTTTTAAACTTAAAAAAAAAATGATTTGACATGACCTTTGGATTTAGCATCCACAGTGCCAGGATCAGATTCCTTATTGCCAGATATAAGTGCGGACATTCCTGAGCGATGAGAGGGAACATGTCGATCTCCTTATCTAACATCATGTCTGGCATCATGCTGAAAGCATGCAGTGGCCTGTCACCTTTGCGAAATGGGACTACATATGGACAGAGCTTTTCTGGAGAAAAAATATTGAAATTATGTAAATATTTATAAATTAAAATGATATACTGCTCGCTGAAAAGCTGTGAGTTGCATGTGATTCGTTAAGGATGTGAAGGTTGAGCAATGAGACGGGGATGACGATGTGGTTGTGGTATTTTTTTTTTAATTCGGCCATAAAGATGTTAATTCTTGGTGGCTCTTCGTGTTTTCCTTTTTTTACACCCTTAAAAAGCTGGCTGGCACGAGCTATTGTAGTTTACAGCTAGGCTGTGATCTCTGCACTTTTCAATCCAAAACTGACTTAAGCAAGTCCTTTATTAGCCACCTATTACGATGTGCTTGTGAAGAGGCAGTGAGTTGAATGTTTACCTGCCCACCCCCTTTTTATTTTCCCTAAAAAAATGGGGTCTTGGGAATTCTAGATTTATAAATTTGTGTTGATAATGTTGTTTTTTGTGGGGCGTTTCAAGATTAAAGAGAAATTGGGTTTCTTCAGGAGGAACTGTTTTTTTTTTTTTTTTGGTCTCTGGGACATTCTTCACATAAGACCAATCTTTCCGAAGGGCAATGCATGGATATTATCTCTGTGCCATGAAGGTCAGCTGAAAATATTATATCTGTGCCATGAAGGTCAGCTGAAAATATTACATCTGTGCCATGAAGGTCAGCTGGAAATATTATATCTGTGCCATGAAGGTAAGCTGGAAATATTATATCTGTGCCATGAAGGTAAGCTGGAAATATTATATCTGTGCCATGAAGGTAAGCTGGAAATATTATATCTGTGCCATGAAGGTCAGCTGAAAATATTATATCTGTGCCATGAAGGTAAGCTGGAAATATTATATCTGTGCCATGAAGGTAAGCTGGAAATATTATATCTGTGCCATGAAGGTCAGCTGAAAATATTATATCTGTGCCATGAAGGTAAGCTGGAAATATTATATCTGTGCCATGAAGGTCAGCTGGAAATATTATATCTGTGCCATGAAGGTCAGCTGGAAATATTATATCTGTGCCATGAAGGTCAGCTTAAAATATTATATCTGTGCCATGAAGGTAAGCTGGAAATATTATATCTGTGCCATGAAGGTCAGCTGGAAATATTATATCTGTGCCATGAAGGTCAGCTGAAAATATTATATCTGTGCCATGAAGGTAAGCTGGAAATATTATATCTGTGCCATGAAGGTCAGCTGGAAATATTATATCTGTGCCATGAAGGTCAGCTGAAAATATTATATCTGTGCCATGAAGGTAAGCTGGAAATATTATATCTGTGCCATGAAGGTCAGCTGGAAATATTATATCTGTGCCATGAAGGTCAGCTGAAAATATTATATCTGTGCCATGAAGGTCAGCTGGAAATATTATATCTGTGCCATGAAGGTCAGCTGGAAATATTATATCTGTGCCATGAAGGTCAGCTGAAAATATTATATCTGTGCCATGAAGGTAAGCTGGAAATATTATATCTGTGCCATGAAGGTCAGCTGGAAATATTATATCTGTGCCATGAAGGTCAGCTGAAAATATTATATCTGTGCCATGAAGGTCAGCTGGAAATATTATATCTGTGCCATGAAGGCCAGCTGGAAATATTATATCTGTGCCATGAAGGTCAGCTGGAAATATTATATCTGTGCCATGAAGGTAAGCTGGAAATATTATATCTGTGCCATGAAGGTCAGCTGGAAATATTATATCTGTGCCATGAAGGTCAGCTGAAATATATTATATCTGTGCCATGAAGGTAAGCTGGAAATATTATATCTGTGCCATGAAGGTCAGCTGGAAATATTATATCTGTGCCATGAAGGTCAGCTGAAAATATTATATCTGTGCCATGAAGGTCAGCTGGAAATATTATATCTGTGCCATGAAGGTCAGCTGGAAATATTATATCTGTGCCATGAAGGTCAGCTGAAAATATTATATCTGTGCCATGAAGGTCAGCTGGAAATATTATATCTGTGCCATGAAGGTCAGCTGGAAATATTATATCTGTGCCATGAAGGTCAGCTGAAAATATTATATCTGTGCCATGAAGGTAAGCTGGAAATATTATATCTGTGCCATGAAGGTCAGCTGGAAATATTATATCTGTGCCATGAAGGTCAGCTGGAAATATTATATCTGTGCCATGAAGGTCAGCTGGAAATATTATATCTGTGCCATGAAGGTAAGCTGGAAATATTATATCTGTGCCATGAAGGTAAGCTGGAAATATTATATCTGTGCCATGAAGGTAAGCTGGAAATATTATATCTGTGCCATGAAGGTAAGCTGGAAATATTATATCTGTGCCATGAAGGTAAGCTGGAAATATTATATCTGTGCCATGAAGGTCAGCTGAAAATATTATCTCTGTGCCATGAAGGTAAGCTGAAAATATTATCTCTGTGCCATGAAGGTCAGCTGGAAATATTATCTCTGTGCCATGAAGGTCAGCTGAAAATATTATCTCTGTGCCATGAAGGTCAGCTGGAAATATTATCTCTGTGCCATGAAGGTCAGCTGGAAATATTATCTCTGTGCCATGAAGGTCAGCTGGAAATATTATCTCTGTGCCATGAAGGTCAGCTGGAAATATTATCTCTGTGCCATGAAGGTCAGCTGGAAATATTATCTCTGTGCCATGAAGGTCAGCTGGAAATATTATCTCTGTGCCATGAAGGTCAGCTGGAAATATTATATCTGTGCCATGAAGGTCAGCTGGAAATATTATCTCTGTGCCATGAAGGTCAGCTGGAAATATTATCTCTGTGCCATGAAGGTCAGCTGGAAATATTATCTCTGTGCCATGAAGGTCAGCTGGAAATATTATCTCTGTGCCATGAAGGTCAGCTGGAAATATTATATCTGTGCCATGAAGGTCAGCTGGAAATATTATCTCTGTGCCATGAAGGTCAGCTGGAAATATTATCTCTGTGCCATGAAGGTCAGCTGGAAATATTATCTCTGTGCCATGAAGGTCAGCTGGAAATATTATATCTGTGCCATGAAGGTCAGCTGGAAATATTATATCTGTGCCATGAAGGTCAGCTGAAAAAAAGTAGGCAGAGAAACTGTCTGGTTCTGCACCGTCTGATGATAAACTGATGCATGACAAGTAAGGCTGGGTCAGAGGTCTTTGGAAGTCAGTGAACAATGCAGAAGCACACATAAATTATTATAGTTTGAAGAATGAAGCAAGGACGAGGGGATCTGGCCTGGACAACACTCAAAGGAAAGAAAAGGCAAACTTAATTAGACTATTACTGATACCATCTCATCTGTGGCTTAGGCATGCGAATGTGCTTCGTAATGCCGGGGTGCCAGGTTTGATCTCAGCTGCAGGTGATTTGGAAGCACAACGTCTTGCATTGGTTTTGACAGAGGTATCGAGCAGTGACTGCTGAGAACAAAATGGCAAACTACTGAATGAAAATTTGCCTAGAAAAACAACATAAGCCAAAAAAATTATGGAATTGGTTCTGCAACGTCCTGTAAAGGACACACAACTAACTTGATACGATCTGAATTAGAATTCTACAGGATATTCCAAGCTCAGTGATGTTGGTTCTCAACTTATTTACAGCAAGTAAGTGGATACATCTTGTGTGTCACACACATACAGGGATGGAGATAGAAAAAAAACACATACACACACAAAATACGGGGGGGGGGGGGGGGATATTAAAAGATAGACAGGAAGATAAATACAAATGTGGAGAAAGAATTAGAATACAAACTTTTTTCTTCCTTTGATAATTCTTCAGGCTCCTCTGTAGGACTCAAACCTACACCATCTGGATAATAGCTACTAAGAAATGGTGCAGCTGGAGACTTTTTCAAGAATGGAGGGTATTTGTTCTGTATCAGCCATAATGGACTTCGGACGTAGTGAACCCGCTACATAGAATAAACAGAAAGAGAAATATTATATTAATATTGTTACAAACACTATGTAAAAATACTGTAAGTGTTGATCTATTTTGCTCCACTGAAAATATTTTTCTTCTGCAATTGCTGGTGTCTTATGATTGTCTATTAGAATAGCAGGCTAAGTCAAGAGGCCATCGAAGAAAGACTTGGTTGAAGGGAATAATAACAAAAATAAATACTACAGAACCACAATATAGCATTAACACACATTAAGCAACTAGTAAAAAAAAAAAAAGGAAACCACAACTAACTCCTCTCTGTGGTGCTTTACAGCCTAAGCGGTAGGACAACAGAAGAAGAATGTATACTTACTTGCCTGTCAGTTTTGTTTATATAAGATTACGGAAGTGTCATGCTGCTGTGTTTCCTTGTTCACGGTGGTGGTAAAGAGTGGATGAACATGTATATGTCTATCAACAACTATAAGCCCTATGACCCTTTTTCACACCTCTCTCCATAGAACAATCAACAACACATATCCAAGAAAAAGTTTCATTAGGAACACACAAAAAACAATCCATTGAAGAAAAAACAAAAATAAGTTAATCAAGCCAGATTTTTTCCACCACATCATAAGCAAGCAATATAGAATTGTAACAATTTACCTCATCTTCTGGTATAGTACAAGCGTCTTGTTTTTCTTTCTGTGGAAAATAAGAGACTAGTAAAATACATTTCAAATAATTACAATGTTTTTTCTCTTGCTTCTCTGACAGAGTTAGTTCAATAATGAGTGATGCTGTCAGGCACTATTCAGATCTTATATCTGGTGGTTTTTGCTATTATTCACTTACACACTTCTTTCAAAAATATTGTTTGATTCTCATCTGTTCAATCACACTGCTTATTGTGAAGCTATTTTGAATATCATGAAGCCACTTTGCTTACTGTGAAGTCACAATGCCAGTTGGCACATTGTTCTGTGGCTTACAGCTAGGCTGCCTATCTGCACCTCTCAGCTTAACACATATAATTTCTGCAAATCTTTAATAAGGCACCTTTTATAAAAGGTTTCTTAAGAACCAATAGGTCTATTCTTATGTCCCCTCTAAATATGGTGATTCTGGAATCTACACTGATATACATTTGATTTTTGGGGGACACACGTATATAACACATTCAAACTAACCTTCACAGAACTCTGCAAAGAGGTTCTGCCACACACAAATGTGTCAATAAATTCTGGTGTCAGATTCGAACCCCGAGAGAGCTGTCTCCATCTGCCACAACCCACAGCTCTGCACTGGACCCAGTATGGCATGATTTGTTCCACCATGAAAGCTGCCACACCTGGCTCTGTTCTTGCTTTTTGTGACCATTCTCTTTTCCACAGGTCATAGTCTTTATAGCCCTCTTTGTGACTAGTAAGAGAATATAGACAGAAACATTAAAGGGTTAAGAGACAGCAACATGAACATATATATCAGACAACTAGACTAGATGATATTACTTATATGTGAAAGAAATTATAACACCCACTGGCAAAGCACCAGCAACTTTTAAAAACTTGACAAAAATTTAAAATTATATGGTTGTAGAACCAAGTTACCTATAATCAATTTTAATGTTAATTCAGTTTTAACGTGTGAACTACTAAAGACATGGAACCTAATTTAAATGCATTTAAAAATAAACACCTGAAGATAATACTGAATATAGAATGGGATCAGCCAGAAGACTTGTTAATCAACATAGAACTGGTACTATTAGCCATCGGACGTTGGGGTTCATACTGAGGGGAGGATCTGAGCACCTATGGACATGTCCGGAGTGCAATGAGGATAACCCAACTAACTAACTAACTAACTAACTAACTAATAGAATGGGATTAACTCAAGAGGAGTAAAGAAATAAGATAAATGTCTGGGCAACGACGAATATGAACAGTTATAAGACAGAGAAGATAACGCTGTACTGGGAAATTGAGAGACTGGCAAAAGGAAGATGTCTAAAAGACACCTTAAAGAATACAATGATGAGAGAAGCCAAAGGTGCTGAACTAAATTCCACCTTCCCCGTGCGGATCCTGGGGCCCCATCATGGGTGTAATGACTGTACTAATGAATGTAATGTGTCTCCTCCACACTTGATCTTTCTAGTGCAGATTCAACACTGACTCCACTGTCTAGGTGTTAGGTCACAATTCATTCTAGCCAGACGGCACTTCTCGCTACGGCCACACAACTTCAAATGACAGTCGACAACAGCTGACACATTTCACAGGTTTATTGTCAAGGTAACACAAGACACGAATCATCAGATGAACCAACTTACGCCATTCAGGCAATCTGGCCTTGCTCACGCATTGAGTCTCTAGCCATGCTTCAGACGATGGACACTGGCATGTACACGACTGGCTCAACAAACAAACCGTGTAACACAACTGCTGGTTCAACAAACATACCGTGAAACACAACGGCTGGTTCAACAAACAAACCGTGAAACACAACGGCTGGTTCAACAAACAAACCGTGAAACACAACTGCTGGCTCAACAAACATACCGTGAAACACAACGGCTGGTTCAACAAACATACCGTGAAACACAACGGCTGGTTCAACAAACATACCGTGAAACACAACGGCTGGTTCAACAAACAAACCGTGTAACACAACGGCTGGCCTAGGCGATCATTCAATAGCGCTGCCTGTCTTGTCGTTCAGCACTAACATTCATTCGACGCTGATTCAGATCCACGTGCGCTCTTCACTCTGGATTCACCTTCACAGATTCAGCTTCACATCCTTCCAATCTGGGGCCCAGTCACAGAATAACCACCTCATTCTCAATCCTCCAGATCTCGCAATCACATGTGTCTCACTCACTCTTGTCTTTTCACCATATCTCCGCGAAACCCATGCTATCAGGGACTTGACCAATTATGCCAGTCATCCCCTGACGTTATCCCTATTTATAGCATCATTACAATGGGGTTATAAGGAACAGACCCATTGCCCCCAACAAGCATGTTGTAACAGTAAACTAATAAGGGATAATTCCATTAAAGTACACCTGCCTGAGAGACAAGGAACCAATGGTGTGCATACAAATAACCCAGGTCTGTAAAACGGATGTGCATGCTAAACTCAGGTTCCGGAACAAGATTAAAAGTCTAGAAGTAGATGAACAACCGAAACTTTCCAATTAAAATTAGTACCAGGTCATTTCAGGGGAAGCAAAGGCACTGATACAATGCTGACCAAGTGTCCACTAGTCTATGGAACTCTGAGTCTAGCATCATCTACCTTGAGCACCACAGGCATAAAAAGGGAGCATTTCCCTGTCAATTCAAACACAGAAATTTAAAAAAAATGCTAGCAAGAGTTTTAATACAGCAGCTAATCAGAGAACAAATGTGACCAACCTTCTGTAGAAATGTTCAAAACATTCATTGCAGTAATGTTCTCCTAATGTCAGATGAGACCACCTTGATGTCCAGCCACTTCCACAACATCTGCGAGAACAAAATGATTAGCAGTGTGGTATGAGTACATTAACCACCGTCGTATATACCTGCCTGTACAAGGACAGATCACCAAACCTGATATCCCATTTGTGTTAATGGCTTTGGGTGGAGGAGCCTACTGAGGAGGATACTAGCCTTTTTATAGGATGATGAAATGTAACCTAAAAACTTGTCTGGGCAGACAGGGCCCTTAGTCTTGGTTTGCAGCTGATCTAGGAGGGAATCTCAGAAGGACAGACAGATGGAGCCTGCTCTTCAGATCTGGCAGCTTCAGCAGAATGCTTTATTCCAAACACATCAGTGTTACCTTTCCTCTGGAGTAAACAAGGCAGTATGAGAGATGGATCATGAGGCAACACATGGTTTCAACAATACTGCTACGGTTTCATGCAATGGAGAGAAAGAACATCCCTCAAATGATATTTCATTCTGCTTTCTCCACTCCCCAGACTAGTTATGTTCTATTTTATAGCAATGAATAATTTAAATAAGCATCTTAAACAGATGTTTAAACTAAGGACCACAAGGCTAGCAGGCAAACATACTTATTCAGCAATCCAAGCTTCTGCCATTCATTGCTGCAGATATTGCCCGTAGCATTAATCTCTCTGGTTGGCCTACTCTTTCCAGCTAGTGACTCTAGTGTTTGTAGGTCCGCTTGTATATTATCTCTCCGTTTTCCTTGGTCTGCCTCATGGTCTACTCCCAATGAACTCTTTTTGGTATGCAGTTTTTGTCTCTCTGTTACCTGCCATTCTTTCTTTGACTACATACATCTCTACAAAAAAGGAAGCATAACTAGACAACAGTGACCAGGCATAACTAGACAAACAGTGACCAGGCATAACTAGACAACAGTGACCAGGCATAACTAGACAACAGTGACCAGGCATAACTAGACAACACTGACCAGGCATAACTAGACAACAGTGACCAGACATAACTAGACAACAGTGACCAGACATAACTAGACAACAGTGACCAGACATAACTAGACAACAGTGACCAGGCATAACTAGACAACAGTGACCAGGCATAACTAGACAACAGTGACCAGGCATAACTAGACAATAGTGACCAGACATAACTAGACAACAGTGACCAGGCATAACTAGACAACAGTGACCAGACATAACTAGACAAACAGTGACCAGGCATAACTAGACAAACAGTGACCAGGCATAACTAGACAACAGTGACCAGACATAACTAGACAACTATGACCAGGCATAACTAGACAACTATGACCAGACATAACTAGACAACAGTGACCAGACATAACTAGACAACAGTGACCAGGCATAACTAGACAAACAGTGACCAGACATAACTAGACAACAGTGACCAGGCATAACTAGACAAACAGTGACCAGGCATAACTAGACAACAGTGACCAGGCATAACTAGACAAACAGTGACCAGGCATAACTAGACAACAGTGACCAGGCATAACCAGACAAACAGTGACCAGACATAACTAGACAAACAGTGACCAGGCATAACTAGACAAACAGTGACCAGGCATAACTAGACAACAGTGACCAGGCATAACTAGACAACAGTGACCAGGCATAACTAGACAACAGTGACCAGGCATAACTAGACAACACTGACCAGGCATAACTAGACAACAATGACCAGGCATAACTAGACAACAGTGACCAGGCATAACTAGACAAACAGTGACCAGGCATAACTAGACAAACAGTGACCAGGCATAACTAGACAAACAGTGACCAGGCATAACTAGACAACTATGACCAAGCATAACTAGACAAACAGTGACCAGGCATAACTAGACAAACAGTGACCAGGCATAACTAGACAAACAGTGACCAGGCATAACTAGACAACTATGACCAGGCATGACTAGACAACAGTGACCAGGCATAACTAGACAACAGTGACCAGGCATAACTAGACAACAGTGACCAGGCATAACTAGACAACAGTGACCAGGCATAACTAGACAACAGTGACCAGACATAACTAGACAACAGTGACCAGGCATAACTAGACAAACAGTGACCAGACATAACTAGACAACAGTGACCAGGCATAACTAGACAAACAGTGACCAGGCATAACTAGACAACAGTGACCAGACATAACTAGACAACAGTGACCAGGCATAACTAGACAAACAGTGACCAGACATAACTAGACAACAGTGACCAGGCATAACTAGACAACTATGACCAGGCATAACTAGACAACAGTGACCAGGCATAACTAGACAACAATGACCAGGCATAACTAGACAACAGTGACCAGGCATAACTAGACAACTATGACCAGGCATAACTAGACAACTGTGACCAGGCATAACTAGACAACAGTGACCAGGCATAACTAGACAACAGTGACCAGGCATAACTGGGACTGAGCCTCGAGAGGCAGGGGGTAAGAAGTGTTGGTGTTGTGGGTTCCCCCCCTTACTTCACCCTAGGTCTAGTGAATATCTGTTCACGAAAGGAGCGTCCATTGTGGTGTCAGCCTCTTGACCTAGCAAAACCTCTCTTACCTCAAGACCATTGTGCGTGGCGAAGAGTCACAGCCTCCCCGAGGTAGTCCCGGTAACTGGGGGTGCGAATCCCCAGGCAAAACACAATGGATCTAGAGGAGCAAACCTCGATAATAAACCCGGTGCACCACACCGTACTGCCCCCTGTGGGAGGGAAGGAGCCAGAGGTGTGCTGAACAGTCTTAGGAATGGAAACAAGTATGCTAACCCCCCTGAATAACGGAAACTATCGTGAAGGCACAGGGACTCAGGACGTGACGATCCAGTTTCCCCAACTACTCATGCTTAGGCCATGCTTAGAGACATGAAGAGCTCAGCGAAACCTGCAGGCAATCTGGTGGCGGGGAATGAGCACACTGTGAGCCCACACCTTAGCTACGT